CTGGACTGTTGGTCCATGAGGACTGGGTTTGCATAACACTGCTCTATAGGAGACATCTGAATCTACCACTTCCTCTTTGTCTCAATGTGCTCCAGAAGCCCTTTTGTGCAACCTCTGTTCTTGCAGGAGTTGGGACACAACTCTGTAGAGTTGCAGTGGTCCCCAAGCCAGTCCTCATGGACCACCAATGGTCCAGGATTTATGTATTTCCTTTTTTTATTCCAATAGAGATGCTGACAAAACCTGCCCTGTTGGTGGTCCATGAGGACTGGGTTGGGGACCACTGCTCTAGAGTACCTTCACTACTGATGTAGTGTTAAGCAACTTCTGGATTTCATGTGATTGTGAAGGGTCCTCCATGTTTCCACAGGAGGAACCAGTAAGCCAATACTGAGAGACAGTGAGAAACAATTAGGTTAGATATGCAATAGGGCATAAGTGAGTAAGTGCCCATTAGCTCCCCCGAGCCTGCACCATAAAACTGGGGGCAGTCTGAGGCTCACCCAGGAAATAGGAAGGCAGTCTTGGGTTTACCCAGGAATGGCATAGCAAAGTGGTCAATCCTCTTGGTAGTAGATGCACTAGGCAGGCTAGGGCACTGATGAAACAGGCCAATGACAGCGATGACAGTCTGCCAGCAGGCAGTGATGCTGAACAGTAATGTGCTTGAGAGCTGCCACAGGGAAAACAATCCAAGATCGCAAAAATCAGCATAGACATACACACATACATAGAAGTGGAAGCTCACCCTAGGATATAATGCAGGATAAAGCAGGCCAGTGGAAACTGGGGAGAGGGGCAGGGAGGAGCTCAATTAATACTTACTGCTAGGGCTTCCCCAGTGTACGATAGAATAAATAATTTTAAGTTACCATAGAAATAACAGTGAATATATTGGCAAAGGCAGATACCTAATGACAAAAAGACAGCCAGGAGAAGGAAATGGCATCAGCTGCAAGCAAAGGCACCACAGATATGGTTCTACACATAGTAAGCTGAAATCCAAGATGGCCACTGTGTGCTCAAGTTGGTCCAAAGGACACACTCTACTGTAAACAGAAGGGGATAGAAATACAAAGAAAAGAAAAAACAAAACAGATAAGCCCTATATCACCAGACCCTGGAGAGCCCTGAGAATGGCGCCAAACACTGCAAAGCCAACCACAGTACAGAGAACAAGCAGAGTGGCTAAAGGGAACCATAGATAGGCAAGGACAGCAAAAACTTTTTTTTACAAATTCAGTGAGACTTGAGGCTGGAGAACGATGTAAAAGTGTGAAAAACTGGAACTGGGAGAGGAAGATGGCAAATAAATCAATAAAGTATCAGAAAAATATGTCTGAGAACACCAAAAATTTTCAAAGAACAATGTTACTTAAAGCAACACTTGGCTGATGCAGTAATTGTAGCCTCAATGTGGAGCTCATCCCAGTTATAATTCAGAAATTCACCCCGCTACGTAGGAATATAAGGCAATGTAGAAATACTTATGTGGGCTGACCCCAGTGCTTAGCAATATAATGCAATGCAGGAATTCTTATGGATTATCAGTATAATGCAATTCAGAAATAATTACTTTTGGAGGTTCATCCTTTTGCTTAGCAATATAATGTAATGCAGGGATATTTATTAGGGGTTCAACCCTGTGCTTAGCAGAAATACTTGTGGTGCTCTGTAGTTTTAACCCATTTAGGCAAAAAAACAAAAAAAAAACACCACACACACACACATAAACTAAGCAAAGGTTATCCCAAAATAGGTTTAAAATATAGAGGAAAGAAAACCACAATACAGTGTAATGTCACGGGACACAATCACTGTGCGGATACAGGAGCAGCAAAGACAGAGGAGGTGGCTTTGCTGTTAACGGCTTAGATTACCTCCTACTACTGTTCTGATCTGTTTCTTTGCTGCTATGGAGTTGAGTTAAGAAAGTAAAGCAAAATATGAAGCCTCCTGTCAGGTTATATAATTCCGAGCACTGGTCATAAATCCACTACATTTTCTATTAACAATTTATTAGATGCAGATCAATTACTATTATAATCTCTGCAAAATCTATACGCTATACTAACTCCCTGGTTTAGACACAGTGGTTGCTTCTGCTAAGCTCCCCTGGCAGTATATCGGCACAAAAGGAGATCCACAGCATTCCTATGCATTTCATATAGATCCACACTTGGAAGGTTGATAAACATGTCAGCCTACTGGAATGATTTTACATATTGCATTTATAATGTGATCTTACTGGCAGATGTGGCAATCAGCCTGTCACCCGATTCCTGCTGCTGCAAGGATTCTAGTTTTTCAATTAGCAAGTCTCCCCCACTGTTTGTCTGTGCATGTGTGTGAATGACTATTTTGCCAATTGCATATTCTATTCTCATGACAGAAAGTTATACAATGTACAAGCAAATAAAATAAACGTTTAGAGACAAACTAAAATTAAGGTTTGTAATAAAGTATATGTAGGGCATTTACATATGTATGAAGCTAGTATAAGACAATTCATGCCAAGAAATGCCACATTGATCCCAATAAAATACTATTTACATCTGATAAGATAATGGAGGGGAGAGGGGGGTATTACTAGCAAGAATATAAATAAAAAACTGGAAACCAATATCTAAACTCAAACGAGTGTCTAAATAGAGATCATTTTGGATTTTTTCTTATTTACATAACAGTCCTGACAGTTAGGTATAGAGGGATCTAAATTCCAAATAAAAGTTGAAAGTACATTCTGTTAGGGGGATGGAGACAACTTCATTCTTTCTGGTTTACTAATGTTAAGTTGCACTTCTGTGTAAAGTGGCATTGACATGGGAAGGGACTGATAAAGAGCCAAGTGGACGCACATACAAGCCAAAGACTCGGAGCAAAGTGCACGACCCTGGGACTTGGTTGGAGGAGCGGGAGTTGGGGGAATGTGGTCGGGGCCCGGTGCGCTGAGTTTTTCAATAGCAATGTAACCAGCGGGAAAGTGTGTAATATATGTGCGGCAGATTGCTTATTATGTCATTGCCAAATGTTAAATAAAGAATTAAAAAAAAAAAAGCTGAAAGTACAAATGGGTCAAAGCGGACATGGGAATCAAATACGGAAATTGAAACTATATGTTAATTTATTAAAAACATTGAAATGGTAATCATTCAGAAAGCATAATTTAGCAAAAGAAACCAACATTTGCAACACCCCACCCATCCCAAAAACCAAACAAACCAGCCATATAATGACTGCCACATCAGAAGTGATAATGGTGTGTAATGGCACTTGTAATATAGATACGTGGCGGAGAAGGGCTGTAATACAATTTCACAAGTCATGGTGCACAAATGTGCTGGTCATCAGAGCTGTTTTGCTATGGTGTTAAGAAGGCTAAAGCAGATACACATTATGTAACAAGCGAAAGTGCCGATATGTATTTTCGTCTGTCATTTTCACCAATCAACACAGGCAGAGAGGGAAAGAGACGTGTTTAGCACAGCGACATTTATTCAGTATGCATTTATACACGCATATTATTGAGCAAAATGAAACAAATATACAAATACAATAATGAGCAGTTTTAATTATAACTGGCACTAGTGTTATAAGCGGGATAAACTGGTGAGAAGAATCATGGAATAGGATTGCAGCACATGGCAGAACAGTTTTTTTTTTTTTTTTTTCACTCCATAACATTCAATAGCACCATCTTGGCAACACTTACAGGAAACAGGACGGAACAGCAGCTGTTTCAGAACCAATATGTGGGTTCTGCATTGTCAACGTGAATTACATTGCAAAATTTAACAGTGCAAGTTCTGTTACCACCTCTGGTTTGCTATTGTCAAGAGCTATTGTAAGCTAAAAGCTTAAACTAAAATTGCCAGCTGTAATCCTTATCCACCCTTTGTATTGTAGTAATCAGCGTACGCGTGCAGTACCTGCACTGTGCTTTATCTATCCATTGGAGATGCATGTGTCTTTTGTGAAAAAGACGTCATTATGCTTCCTCTAAAGCCTGAGTGAGTCTTTGGTAGGCTAATACATTTGTATTAATTACATACATTTAGAATCTACCACAGTCATTGATTTGCCTATGATTCCCCACTTGAATCCCCCAGGTGGGCACAGGAGACCAAGGAAATACATAGTAAAAATTCACAAATGACCAGGCACTTAAGACCCAGTCTTTCTTTGTAAAGGCACCAAAAAAAAATCAACAGAGGGTGGTCTGCTCCCCAAAGAAAAGAAAGGTGACAATCCTGCCCTTTAAAGACTTCTGTGAAAGTTTTGATTGATTTTGCAAGTGTCTTATGGGCGCCATTTTGTGGAGTTCAGTGCGTTGAACACGAACGATGCCTTAGCTTGGTAATACTCTTGTTATCTATTTTAAACATGTACCAGTTCTCCTTTAAACGAGGTGTGCAAAAATCACCAATACCCTGCTCATATCATGTATGCAATAATCTCTTTGCAAAATCAGGTACCCATTGCTGTACCCTCCCTTTTAGTGACAACTTACAAGTTTCCTCCCAACCCCACAACTTGGAATGAAGTTCTACTCAACATTATAGAATTAATTTAGTGACAACCTTATTATTTTTTTTTATTTTTTTACAGCAACCAAAATAAAAACCCTTTCCAAAACACTGTTTTACATGCATCCGATAATACGGCTTTGCATTGCTTTTAAGCATTTTTTTTCATTAAGGAGTTTTAATTATTGGGACTATATTGCATTGGTGTAGTATTACCAGTAACCTAACTTTTCTTGTTAAATATAGGTGCAAACAGCAAACACTGGAACTTTGAAAAAGCCAGAACTTTACCCCCCTGTCCTTAACCCCATGACCAGTAGCAAAGATTTAAATAATGGACTTTCTGAATCAATGTTACAGGCAGGTTTTGGGCTTTAATTCTGTTAAAATCCGGAGCGGTTTATACAACTTGATGCAAAATGTTCAGTGTGAGCAGGGCTGGCTAGTGGTAACAGTATTGCAGCAATAACAGGCCTAAATGTCTGTCTGGATTGCACCATTTAGTTCGTGATGGGTATTTGCATCAGTTGAGGTTTTGCCAGCATCTTCTCCAGCACTTGGGACACGGTGACACGAGCTCTCCTCTGCAATGTAACTTAGCTGGGGAATATCTGTGCATGGCACAGGCGTTGTAACAATTGGAATCCCGCTTTGGTGTGGAGAACTTTCTAGACGGTCATTTTCCACTTCTGGTAGAGGGCTGACGGTAACAAAGCGAGAGTGGTAATCGGTGGAGCCGTGGCTACATGAGGTCTTCATGCTTTCCATGTCTGAGCAGCTGAATTCAGAGAAGTGACTAGAGTGGGAATCGGCAACTGATGGTATGCTGTCACTAAGGGAAGGGGAGTCAAACTCGCTGGAGTTAGTGCTTTGTTGCTCCAGAAGCTGAGCGTCCATATCCTCTCTGGTCTCATTGATCTTTGTACTGCTCTTCTTTTTTAGCTTTCCTTTACATTTTTTACCTGCTGTTCCCTCTTTTGACCACTTGGTGGAGCTGCATTTACTTTCTGTTGAGCATGCTCCAGACCCACCAGCATTGCTGCGGCTTGGTGCACTTCCGTAATCAACACTGCTGCTCCCACTGTTGTGTCTGAATTTCGCAGGCTTAGACTCAATGTCCACTTGCACCTCCATACTGTTACCTTCCCTGGAAGAAATAAAGAGCGATTTAAAAATAAATAAATAGAAATCTGTAAAATTTACAAATCAAAGTGAGAGAACATTCTCTGATCGTATCTAATATTATTGGCAGTAATCATCCTAGTGCTACAATTTCCAACTCCCATGACTCTCAGCCAATCTGTAAGGACCAGGTCTCACACATACGCCAGCATCTGGAGTTTTGAGGATTGTGTATGTCTTTTAATCAGGGCTCAAAATTTCCAATCTCCCACTAGTTATTGGTGAGATAAAATTCAGCACTGGTGATGGTGTGTCAAGAAGCACAGGACTTAATAACTAATTTATCCTAGATTACATGAGCACTGAGGTCTGAAAACAATTTCTGAATAAAAATAAAATCCTCATGTTCTGGGTGGTAGATGGGTGTTTTTTTTTGGTTTACTTTCCATGTTGCAAATAAAAACCCATACTATGGGAACCTTCTTAACACAAACTAGCTAAATATCACAGCTGCCTACAGATTTCGCCTTACCTTGTTTTGTAATTACACAGATAGACAGAGGGGGCTGGGGAGCCAAGAATAGCAAAAAGCCATGTTAATCCCTGCACTAGTGACTCACACTAGAACACATTATGAAAACACACATTTATATCAAGGCTGTTTAACCTTTACTGCTGTATACGGAAAAGTAGTACAGGGGGCACATCATCATAATTTCAGGTATTTAAAAACGGAATATACAGTTCTGGGGAATACATTGGCATACAAATATGTTGTGAATGGTACTCGGATGGAAAAAGGGTAAGAAGCAGTGAGTCAAATTATAAAACAGATACTGGAGAAATACGGTAAATATGACCATAAAACATTTTATACCAGATTAACAGATTAACCCTTAGGGTTATAGGGTGAAAATTTTGATTTATATTCATATTTGCAAGCTGCCACAAGCCACACTTCATCCCCGATTATGCCATTTTCAATTACATTAGCAAATCAGCCTAGGGGCTTCCATGTCGTAAGACTCAGAGCTAAACCAGTTGTTCTTGAATACTAGCAGGAATATACCAAGGGCCGAGACCTATCAGCCACAGCCAATGTGTTGCTAGCTGATTCGAGCTCATTTTCCCAATTTGGATGGTGGGATTATAATTACTATTTCAAAACATAGGAGACAGATGTTTTCGCTCTAATCTAGGCTTTCATATACAGCTCAGATGATATCAGCGCTAGATAGATCTATAAAATACTGGGTAAATCTAATTAACAAAGCACTCAGTATTACCTGTCCAGAGGGGTGTAAGAATTTAGAATGGATCCAGCCATGGCTTTGGTGCTTGCATTGTCGCTGACCGTTCCTAAACTCACAGTGCCAGATTCCCCACTTAAACTGCATCGTTCCTTCTGAATGTCCGCTTGGACTTCCAGCCTAAAAAAAAATAAAAAATAAATAAAAAGGGAACGTTAAAGCTTCCACATGATCCAAATTACTATTACAGATCAATGTAATCCGCAACACTTCACAATGAGCATCTCAATTAAACAAATAAATTACAAATGAGGGAACATTTTTTGTTCTTATATTTTTACAACTCTAAGATTTGGTATTGATTTTAGTAGCATAATTATGACAATTACAAACAGTCAGTCCAGCAGCTCATATTATATTACAGAGCATTATACGGATCCAGCCCAGCAGCTCATATTATATTACAGAGCATTATAAGGATCCAGCCCACAACTCATATGGTATTATATTACAGGACATTATAATGATCCAGCCCAGCAGCTCATATTATATTACAGAGCATTATACAGATCCAGCCCAGCAACTCATATGGTATTATATTACAGGACATTATAAGGATCCAGCCCAGCAGCGCATATTATATTACAGAGCATTATAAGGATCCAGCCCAGCAGCTCATATTATATTACAGAGCATTATAAGGATCCAGCCCAGCAGCGCATATTATATTACAGAGCATTATATGGATCCAGCCCAGCAGCTCATATTATATTACAGAGCATTATACGGATCCAGCCCAGCAGCTCATATTATATTACAGAGCATTATACGGATCCGGCCCAACAGCTCATATTATATTACAGAGCATTATATGGATCCAGCCCAGCAGCTCATATTATATTACAGAGCATTATAAGGATCCAGCCCAGCAGCTCATATTATATTACAGCGCAGTATAATGATCCAGCCCAGCAGCTCATATTATATTACAGAGCATTATACGGATCCAGCCCAGCAGCTCATATTATATTACAGAGCATTATACAGATCCAGCCCAGCAGCTCATATTATATTACAGGCATTATACGGATCCAGCCCAGCAGCTCATATTATATTACAGAGCATTATAAGGATCCAGCCCAGCAGCTCATATTATATTACAGAGCATTATAAGGATCCAGCCCAGCAGCTCATATTATATTACAGAGCATTATACGGATCCAGCCCAGCAGCTCATATTATATTACAGAGCATTATACGGATCCAGCCCAGCAGCTCATATTATATTACAGAGCATTATACGGATCCAGCCCAGCAGCTCATATTATATTACAGAGCATTATAAGGATCCAGCCCAGCAGCTCATATTATATTACAGAGCATTATAAGGATCCAGCCCAGCAGCTCATATATATTACAGAGCATTATACGGATCAAGCCCAGCAGCTTATATATTATATTACAGAGCATTATAAGGATCCAGCCCAGCAGCTCATATATTATATTACAGAGCATTATAAGGATCCAGCCCTGCAGCTCATATATTATATTACAGGACATTATAAGGATCCAGCCCAGCAGCTCATATTATATTACAGAGCATTATAAGGATCCAGCCCAGCAGCTCATATATTATATTACAGAGCATTATAAGGATCCAGCCCAGCAGCTCATATATTATATTACAGAGCATTATAAGGATCCAGCCCTGCAGCTCATATATATTATATTACAGGACATTATAAGGATCCAGCCCAGCAGCTCATATTATATTACAGAGCATTATACGGATCCAGCCCAGCAGCTCATATTACATTACAGAGCATTATACGGATCCAGCCCAGCAGCTCATATTATATTACAGAGCATTATAAGGATCCAGCCCAGCAGCTCATATATTATATTACAGAGCATTATAAGGATCCAGCCCTGCAGCTCATATATATTATATTACAGGACATTATAAGGATCCAGCCCAGCAGCTCATATTATATTACAGAGCATTATACGGATCCAGCCCAGCAGCTCATATATATTACAGAGCATTATACGGATCCAGCCCAGCAGCTCATATTATATTACAGAGCATTATAAGGATCCAGCCCAGCAGCTCATATTACATTACAGCGCATTATAAGGATCCAGCCCAGCAGCTCATATATTATATTACAGAGCATTATAAGGATCCAGCCCAGCAGCTCATATATTATATTACAGAGCATTATAAGGATCCAGCCCTGCAGCTCATATATATTATATTACAGGACATTATAAGGATCCAGCCCAGCAGCTCATATTATATTACAGAGCATTATACGGATCCAGCCCAGCAGCTCATATATATTACAGAGCATTATACGATCCAGCCCAGCAGCTCATATTATATTACAGAGCATTATAAGGATCCAGCCCAGCAGCTCATATTACATTACAGCGCATTATACGGATCCAGCCCAGCAGCTCATATTATACGGATCCAGCCCAGCAGCTCAATATTACAGAGCATTATACGGATCCAACCCAGCAGCTCATATTATATTACAGAGCATTATACGGATCCAGCCCAGCAGCTCATATTATATTATAAAGCATTATACGGATCCAGCCCAGCAGCTCATATTATATTACAGAGCATTATACGGATCCAGCCCAGCAGCTCATATTATATTACAGAGCATTATACGGATCCAGCCCAGCAGCTCATATTATATTACAGAGCATTATAAGGATCCAGCCCAGCAGCTCATATTATATTACAGAGCATTATAATGATCCAGCCCAGCAGCGCATATTATATTACAGAGCATTATACGGATCCAGCCCAGCAGCTCATATTATATTACAGAGCATTATAATGATCCAGCCCAGCAGCTCATATTATATTACAGAGCATTATAAGGATCCCACCCAGCAGCTCATTATATTACAGAGCATTATAAGGATCCCGCCCAGCAGCTCATTATATTACAGAGCATTATAGGGATCCAGCCCAGTAGTTTATATTATATTACATTACAGAGCATTATAAGGATCCAGTCCAGCAGCTCATATTGCATTATATTACAGAGCATTATAAGGATCCAGCCCAGTAGTTTATATTATATTACATTACAGAGCATTATACGGATCCAGCCCAGCAGCTCATATTATATTACAGAGTATTATACGGATCCAGCCCAGTAGATTATATTATATTACATTACAGAGCATTATAAGGATCCAGCCCAGTAGTTTATATTATATTACATTACAGAGCATTATATGGATCCAGCCCAGTAGTTTATATTATATTACATTACAGAGCATTATAAGGATCCAGTCCAGCAGCTCATATTGTATTATATTACAGGACATTATAAGGATCCAGCCCTGCAGCTCATTTATTATATAACATTAGAGAGCATTATAAGGATCCAGCCCTGCAGCTGAATATTTAGATGATTACTCTCCAATATTTCAAACCATTCACTATAGCCTCCAGGCAGACATTATCATTTATAATAGACTTAACAGTGATATTAAAGGGACACTCCAGACACATAAAGCTCTTCTGTCTGTCTTATTTGTGACAGTTTAGAAAAGGGCTGATTTTAACAGCAATTGACACTTTTATAATTGGGACCTCAAACGCCTATCCGTCGGGACACTTTCTCCTTAACTCCACAGAGATAGCAGGCGTCTGCCTTTCCCCCTTTCAATGAGCTGAACTACAGCTTGCTGAGAAGCGTAGGAAAGCACGCCTGCTTCATTAGCACGCCTGCTGACGTCTTCTGCGATCTCATCCAAACCAATGTTTCTCATAGAAAAGCATTGTGGAAGAGAAACACATGCGCAGCAAATCACCTGGCTGGTGTTCCAAGGTGCGAGGTAAAATTATATCTTACGGCAGTTATAAGGTTCTTATGTGAGGAACATGATCGTGCATCACGTGATCACAAGCAGGCATTATGGAAAAGATTTCTCAGTTCTGTGCATCTTAGGCAGTATGAAAACGTGTATCTTGATTTTCAGATATTATGCAAAGAGAAGGGCTTATCGACCTTAGAGCCACAAACCCAAAATTATCACATTAAACTGTACTGAAACATAAGGATTCCCTATTGAATCGGATGCAAAGCAGCATAGCATTAGAACATATTAAAATTAAGGCATTGTTTGCTTATGGACTTCATGCTAAGTAACAGAACTGCTGTAACAGGTAAGGACAATTGATGGAGAAATAACACAATGACATATAATTATATCTTTACCTATTAAAACAATTCACCATGGCACTCCCAGACAGACTGCCCGTTATACTGGCCCCTGCCAAAGCCATGGTGCTGGCGGTTTCACTGAGATTGTCCCGAATTGCGCCAATCCTGTCCATGTGGCTTCCACTAGCGCTCAGACTGCCGGTCATCCCTCCTACACTTCCTTCCCCGATACTGGGATTGTTGCGTGCTTCTGCGACTGAAGTGGCATCTACAGAGAGGAAAGACATAAACAAATAACAGTGATAAACAGAGTAAAAAAAGAACTTGTGCATCAAGCTGATCCACACTAAATGTAAAAATATCTTTCTTTATACAATTACACGTAAAGTTAAAATTGACTAGTAAAAAAACCTAATATAAACAAACATTGAACAGGAACCTGGGAATGCATTAGGTCCTCTTCTGGCACATGGCATTTAATGTAAGGGAGCAAGACATGACAAAATATGGAGCTCACACTCTCCTAAAACGAGTAATAACAGTAACTTGAATGTTTATAGCCTAAACAAAAAAATGAGTTTCCAAAGGGGAAAAAGTATATAGTCATTTTAACAAAATATTCTCACCAACATAAATAACATCGGCAGACCTGCTCCAAGGAATCATTAGAACTATTTATTTCACATATGATGTCAAACTATATGGAGGTTTCAGATTAGGAAACTACAGAGAGATAAACTGCTTTTGGCGTGTACACCCGGGTGTTGAAAATGTGGACTTTGCTTTCCTGTCAGTTTTTCTCCCTGCCAAAAGACAGGAGTCCGGAGAGTTGGAACTGCCAGGATTTTGGGCTGTTTTTACATGGAAACCGGATGGAAATGATGATGTTTTGGACACCATATAGAGCATTTCTTACTTTGGAAAAATAAACACGCAGTTGACAAAAGAAACACAAGGGTCATTAACCCCTTAAGGACACATGGCATGTGTGACATGTCATGATTCACTTTTATTCCAGAAGTTTGGTCCTTAAGGGGTTAAACTTAATGTGCACCCAGTATGTGCCACATCCAGCATTGTTTGGCAAGGCTTGGTTTAAAAATTCAGCTCACTGGAATGCATGTCCCATTTAAAGACGAGGCAGCCGATTACAACCCTGGAATGTGCATCGTGCATTGTAACGCATAAACAACCAATTTCCATCATCTTAAGCCACTACAGTGTAACGGCACGCTGTGCCAGTATCGGGGCAATGCCTACCTGAATATTATGATCTGCTAGGAAACAGACTTTCTCGATTATCAATCATTTTCAGAAAAAAACACTTATTTCCAGCTTAATATTTAAAGGGGTGTCCGTTTATGTAATCTTTTATATACCGGCCCTCAAACCACTGCTATGTTTACTGGGGAGCAGTTCTCATTTCCATACACACACATCTGAAATTTAACCTGGGTCATTCTAAGTTATACGAATTACCGTGTATCAGACTTACAGAGACTTAAAATTGTCGTATGCAAACCTCCCAAAATAAAGTTCAATTCCAGCAAACTAAATTGTTGTTGTTGAGAAGTTATTCGGATGAGAATTCATTTTTGCCTTTGCACTGCATGCATTTAGTGCAGGAAGATGCAAACGTTGGCACACTTGTTTTACACTATGTGAATATAGGGTTAACAATCCCACAGGAGGTGAAGTGCTGCAGCTGACATTTGAGAGGAAGCATAATAAGAAGTCCATTTAACCAAAACAAACAAATATAAGGTCACGTGACTCCTCTGCAACTTCTGAAGCTCTTAGCATTGTATGGCTTGGAAACAAGAATTGCATCTGCTCATTAGTACACATTTTCTCCGTCATGATCAAAAGGGTTCTTTTGTGGCATTTAATTGTCCCTAGTATGGAATACTGCTGGGTTTCCAAGAGGAGAGCAGCAGGCTTACAGTTCTACCATAAACAGGTGAAAATATCCTGACAAAGGATCAATCCTAAACTATTTGGTCAGCTGTTAAATAGTAAAAAACGTAATACAGACGTGTGCCTATGGCAAATGAAACCATACTGAGAGATTAAATAATCACAGGCAGTTGTAGAAATGAATATTATGATCTCCTGATTTGTATATTTAGATCAGGTCCTGAAGGGGTTAAAGTGTCTCAATCACCAAAAATGTACTTCGCAATATCACACTCAAAAACACAAGCTACTTACGTGTTGATAAATCTGAAATCCATTCAGATTTTTTTTATATTGATAATTTTAAGAAGAAAAATAAATAAAATTGAATTCTAGGTCATTAGGGCTTTATCTGAGTCCTAATGACATTCTGACTCATTAGGAAGTTCAAACAACTCCATCCTATTCTCTACACAATGAAATTATCGAAGATAAAAGGCTTGAGACACTGGCAACCTGGGGTCTGATTGGCTATTGACTTCACATGTGAGTATTAGCCAGTTTTTCCATGAGAAACTTTAAAGCCCCTTCCAATTTCACTGTAACAGCACATAATGTCATAATGTGGCAAGAGACTGAATAAAATCAACCTGTCAGATTAACAAAACAGCTCAATAAAAAGGTAATTTGAATATTTAAAAACTGGATGAGTCCACAATAGTCAAAATTAAATGCACTTGTGCCTACAAAGCATGATATTGTATAGACAACATATCAAATGGCAGGTTTTAGATAAGTCACACCACCAAACACCTGTTACATAAAATGGTTAACTGGACAGGGAACGTGACAACCCTATATTCTTTGTACTTCCACTATTTTGTATGCGGCATCTGCCCGAAACACACAACTTGGACTGAGATCTCTCTCCAACCAGGGATAGCTGCTCATGGCTTAGGACACCAAACAGTGAACCGGGCAATAAGCTGACAGCAACCATGGCACGTCAGTGCAGTTAAACTATGTATGCAACAAGTGGAACTGCTCTTGGGGATACACTGCTTATCTCAATCTCCTGCAGGACAGGAATTCGGGGGACCAGATCCCATAGATAAGAATGAAATACAACAGATTGTCCGTCTTATGCTGCGTTTGGAGAGGTTGGAGTACTAACAGACCCACTAAACAGTGATTCATTCATCTAGGAACTTTTAATGCATCTTTTTACATTATTTTTAAATACATTGCGTATATCATGTACTAACCGAGGAGGTTATTTTACCCACACTTGCCCTTTAATAAGCAGAACTGATACGCTAGTCAGTGGTATAAACTGTCAAACCGCATACTAACAGTTAAAATGAAGGCACACATTGCTTGGTACGAGTGGCTGCAGTTCCATTAACAGAGTATGTTTATTTTGGAAACATTTGTGAAACACATTTATCAACTGCTATAACCCCGCAGATTGAATATGTTACATATTACATGCATATGCACTGTACTGTGAAAATGCTATCACAGAACGCAGTTTGGAGAGGACTTTTCCATTTGGAAACCTCACGTCTCCCTATAAGTGAATACTGTACGTGAATAAATGACACACTCTGCTAACCGTAACCAGTCTCCTCCACACATAGGAAGGAATTTTACAGTCAGTGGGTAACCTTACCCGTAAGTGCGTGCCTGAAGGGGCTGAAGAAATGATAATTTAAAATAGCTTATGGGATAGCTGGTCTACTAACTGAAGCCTTAAAGGAACACTTGCGCAGGTGTGGGGGGTGGGGGAAATGAAAAAACTGTTTAGTAGATATACCCCCAATGAATACATGCATGCATATTTTTATGTATATATTCATTGGGTGTATAGTCTAAAAGGGCTTGCGCTGAAGACACTTCCTGTCAGTCCGGGTAGAGTAAACTGAAGATCCGCTACCCGCAGATCAGCACACTACAAGGTCAGCAGGCACAGGAGGGGAAGGGGGACTGAGACACATGGAGGGGAAAGAGAGACAACAAGAACTGATGGGCTGGACGGGGGCACTTAACCTCCTGCTGGGCTATTAGAGTGCCTGCTATTTTCATTAGCTCAATGGAGCTAACTGAAGTAGAAAGTGAATCTGTCCAGCCATTTGATTCTTATTTTGAATTATGTAAGTGCTAATATCACAGAGAAATTGGCACTTTTATAAGTGGGGATTTTAAAGGGATGCTCCACAGCCATATAGCAATTCAGCAAGCTCCATGGGTTTGGAGTGCACCTTTAAGGATGATGGGTTAGAGAAATTGCTTTACATCATGACATATCTGGTAGGAACTCTCACCTGCAGCCGTATTGGCTCCTCCAACATTGATGTCATTTTCATCATCAAATTCAATCCGGACCCCTTTGCCATTCCCAGCAGACACTCCACACCCTCCGCTTCTACAGAGTGATATGGGGACGACTCCATATACATACGCCAACATAATGGGAACACCAATACCTGGAGTGAGAAAAAAAAAAAAAGGGGTCACAACACAGACTACAGAAATGGGACTCCTCCTCTATATCAGTCAGAGATATACCAGTCATTCAGATTTGTAAATGTATTCCTTACCCACAGTTACTGCAGCGACAACTGGTGACACTATGACAGACAGGGTGACACTGCCTGCTATGGCCAAATTCCTCTTGTGTTTGGAAATATCTTTGCCTTCATAACGATTGTGAATCTGTGAGAAATGAGCAAACTGAGTAAAAACACCTCAAGAAAAACAACCAACCAAGAAATGTAAATTATGATAAAACGAAACCACTGGCCTGTAAGTAAGCTTTACCCAGTTTAACATTACAGGTAACCTTATTGCAAAATGACGTCTCACAGCTTAAATAAAATCTACTACATGAATGGTAACCTTATTGCAAAATGGAATGTGTCTGAGAATGTCTCACAGCTTAAATAAAATCTACTACATGAATGGTAACCTTATTGCAAAATGGAATGTCTCTGAGGATCTCTCACAGCTTACAAATCTTATTCATACCTGGGAATGTTTTGGGTTTTTTTTTGTGCAAAACGTCAGTGGCCATTACAACTTAGCAAAGTAGGAAGTATATATTGCTATAACAGGATTAAAAAACTTTAAACTTGAAGGACAGGAACTACTTTTGAAACATGGCTCCATTTACTGGGTGGTAAAACGTATTATTTATTAACGGAAAGGAGGCTGCCATAGAATAGTCATATCTCAGCATATCAAACCTAGTGACGCAACACATTATTTCCAGTAAATGTCTGGCTGAACCTACCTCCCAATCCATTGAAGGATATTGCTCAAACAGTATCACTCCCAACGTGTCTGTACACGTACTCACTTTCACTTTACGCAATATAATCAATCTACACCGAAGATGGTTTCTTTTTACACGATATAATTTAATTCTCGCCTATGAATTATTACTTTTCAGTAAGTTACGTTGGGGTGGGGGAGGCTTGTAACTCAGATTTAATAATACAGTGATTGCCGTTTAAGAACACAAACAACAATGAATATTTTATGGTGAGCAGGCAATAACCCAAAGTCCCTTACCCGATCACAGACAGCATGATGTTACAGGGAAAGTCAGAGCAAAACGTCTGCCCACTTACTTACATGCCAGCTGCAGCTACTCCCTGAAACCTGTGCTGGTGCAACTCAAAGAGGCAGGATGTGATCTAAATTAAACATGGTAAGTCTAGATCGACTTGCGGCCAAGGCTGCTATATTTAGATAAAAGGGAAGTGATCGCCTGATGCAAATTAAATGAGGCTGGTTCAATGACCTGTTCCCTGGAACTCAGAGCTTCTTTGGAAACAGTGTATGGGTTACTCACTAAACTGGGAATTGTTTGCAAAAGCAGTAGAGCAGGAAACGTTTCCAATTTTGCTATTTAGGTGTAAAATGTGAAATTCACTGGGTAAGTGAATAACCTTGTGTAAAATGACTGCATAACTACCTGTTATTGTTAATCACCAAGTGTGAACTGCCAGGAATTTAACATGATTTCCACAATTTAGGTCAACATTGTTGAACTAACATGATAGCCGGGTATTGTGTCCTAAATATTAGTGAGTAAGAAACTGCATTGTTTACATTGCGGCACCAACTCTGCCTCCAGTGGCTGTCTACCAAACAGGGCCCGAGGGAGGGGGAGGCAGAGGGAGCTATAGTGCCATGAATACAGCTTTGTATTCCTGGCACTTATAGTATCCCTTCAACATAAGTGGCCAGTTGGCTATATACACTGTGTTGGCAATGAGTAGTATTTTTGGGTATTCTTTGCTCTGTTTTCATGTGTCCTGGCAGCAGTGAAAGATGATTATTCCTTACCTTTCGCCCAACATACACAGGAATACCGATGATCATGGCTGGAATGGCGATCCCGGCTATTAATGCAATACCAACTGGAGCTCCCACAAGGGTCCCCAGCTGCCAAAGAATCTTCTTTTTCCTGCTCCATGGCTTCTTGCCCCAAAAAGTGCATCCAGATGGGCTGTAAAACAAACCAGAACAACACCGTGAATGGCTGTCATTCAGATAAAGTATTACCGCAGTCAATACAGGTCGGCAAGAATTGTAAGCACAAAGCTCTCTGTCAAAGGAGATGGCTGGCACTATTCACCACTCACAATAAAACTAGGATGGAATATAAAAGAAACAAAGAGATAATCAAAATACACAAACATAATATTTTAATTAAAAAATAAATCAATCTGAATTCAATCATCCAATGCCTAGCGTAGCAGTTTATTGTCTGCATCGGAAAAGGGTATTAATGTATGATCTAAGACAGAATTAGTTTTTGCTGCTGAATCTTCTTTTCTTGTTTCAAGAAAAATAAATAATTAGGGCTTGAAATTTGAAGTCATATGCCACTAGACATGTGCAGTAGGTTACAATAAACGGGTGTATTTACTAAACACTGAATGGATACTGGTAATCAACTAAAAACTAAATTGCAAACTTCAGGCTAAAATAGCTCTGCAACACAGGCTGTGTCACCACTATTCGTTATTTGGTGAATACACGATATACAAAGGTGGGAACTACTTTCAGAATAAGAGCTACGTTTAATAACACAAACAAAATGATTCACTAAAGGGAGAATCGTTGGGGATTCAAAGAAGTTTTAAAGTCAACGCAAAGTTGTCAAACCGGAAGCATTAGTGGACTTGGAGAATTTTTCCAGCTCGGCTATTTTGGCCTTAAATTCGAAATCCACTTTGCATTGATTTCTCATTCCTGACAATTCTCACTTTAGTGAATAAATCTGAAATTCCCCACACTTTCATGGAGGGGTGTGTATGTGTATATTATATCAAACGTATTTTATTTTTGAGAATTGCAAATTTTTGGCCACAACAGTCAAGCTGTAAAATTAGAGGAGTCTGGGAATTTTCCCAGCTTTGCTATTTTGTAATATTCAAATCATCTGTCAATTCCTGGTTGAATTCCTAGTCTAGTGAATCAATCCGATTGTTCATTTCCATTTTTATAGCACATCCAGCAAGGAGCTCATACTAGATCTGGTCTGTCCGGTTGTTGCTTTCTATCTGGATCTATGAACTTAAATGAACAGCAGAGCCATTGTTGCTTAATCTTACTCAAAACTTAAAAAGAAACGGATCTGTTCCCACACTGGTTTTATGTAGTGACAGCACACAAAGTACCTCTTCATTACCAAAACTACAAGTGGAACCTCGGTTGTTCAGTCGGTCACTTGTGTACTCACCTTAGGTAATGTAAGTCTGAGATCTCCTTCATGCAGAGCCAGCAGAATTCACAGCCGCACACTGCGCAGGTCATGTGATTACAGCTGCCGTCATTCATTTTTATGATATAGGCGGCACACCTGGGGCATGGTTTAATATCGTCCGCTAGTTAGAAGAAACAGAATTGAAATTAATCAGACATAGGCTGGTGACTATAAGGGAATAGTGAGACGAGTGAGAGCTCAATAAAATCATAATAAAAATACCTTTCAAAATATGGAATTTACAAAACATCCACGGGGCATTGTAACATGTGGAAAATGTTGGTGGCTGATAAATGTTAATAATATAAATAATTATAGTCATACTAAAATACAGTGATAGTTTGCCTTGGCAATGCAGAGACTTGTGGTCTTTAATTTATCAACGGGGCCATACTCTGCCGTCACCATTGCAAGGTAAGCCATAATTTACTTTTTTTATGTACTACAAGTGTAAAAGATTATCATGTTTCAGTCAGTACATGCAGACAAGGTAATAGCAAGTTATCTGTACCTTAGACTAGTAAACATGTTAGTCTTATCAATCTCCAACCAGCCCATAAGAGTTAGATGCTAAAGGTTTCCATGTGAATACGAGATAAAGGAATGCATCAGGCTTCGCTAAATCCTGCGCAGGTAGTTAGAGAATTGTGCTATGATGCAGAAGATCAGAATGATCCTGAAAAGTGGCACTTGGTTGTCAGTGGAAGTGTATGGGAATCTATTTTGTAATGTGATCCAGGGTTAGAATACCAGGCACCCTGCCAGCACTTCAACATGAACGCACCTACCAAGGAAAGACTAACACTGTCTTAGGACTGCTAACGCTTAACAGGAGCTCTTTACCGTGGAGAGGAGATTGAGAAACCCTAGCTCTCAAAACATCTCACAGGGTTATTCAATAAAGTGTGACATGTCAAGGCTGCAAAGTGAATGTAAACGTTTAGGCCAAACATTATAAATTCACACTTTTGAGAATAACCCTGTAAATATATTTTCCTGACAAAACCACAAAGCAATACAGTAGTGTTTGGAGCAGTGATTTATTTTAGACAAATACATGTATCTACATCCCTATATTTAATATTTAGATTTGTGTTTTCACATGGGTTTGAAATATCTACATCTGGTTTCATTCATTTGTGAGTTGTTCCCTCAATGGGCACCATTTACTGAGAAACATACTACAAAACCTAGTTAACGTTCACAAGGGATTAATGGAAAAGTAAGGCCAGTTTGTAGTGGAAATACTGGCGTCCAATAATTAATTCCATGTGTGCATGCACCCACGCATTAAACTTCACAAGCACTTTCTGACACCAAATGTACAGCCAGCACGAAAGAGGTACGAGCTGTAAATAGTAGTATGCCACATTGCAGAGCTGTGATATAAAGTAATTACTTAAACACTAGAAAGCATGAAACCAAATCCTCTGCTTTTTTCCCTAAACACACAGGTAGAAAACTAAATTGAGATGTTTATAGAGATCTTGAGTGGAAAGCCTTATTTCCAGGAATGTAATATCCCCAATAACCAGAATTCCATGCAGTTTCATGAAAAAAAGAGTATGTTGCTATGGTGTGTGCTCTGTAACTGTGGCAACATGCTTATTTAAGAATCAGCACTGTATCATAAAATCAGAAGAGACTCCTGGAAACCGTTTCCGTTTAATTCTCATGTTTTCTTTCACTGCTTAGTTATCAATATATACGAACGCATGACAAACTGCAGAGACAAAAAAAAGAAAAAACCAACTGCTGACAATATTTTGTCCGTAAAGCAGTGCATGGCCTGAAAAGAATGCGAGTGTAGAATTCCACCTCTGACTGTGAATTCTAAGAGTGCTAGAATCCCTGTCATTCTTTACGGACAATGTAATTGTCTAATTTGATGTAATTTTACACTTTCCTATGAGAATTGGTGGCTGTTATAAAACACCCTGGCTGCAAATCGTGAGAAAAGAGCGAATTTAATTTCTGATTAGAGATCCAAGGAAGTCAGCCTATATTATCACTGTTACCAATGTTAAACTTCATTAATAGGCAACACAATCTGACCGACATTACCTGCTGCGCCAGACTCCTGGCTGTAGCTGATCGATGATGAACGAATTGTCCGTAAGCGCAAACTCTGGGCTCGCTCTTGGCGAGCGGCATCACACGTCTGGTTCGGATGCCAGATCTGTTTGCAGTGATAGCAGAACTCTGTCTCGCATCCATCACGGCCACAGGTTAGCTTTGGGCAGCTGGCACATCCAAATGCAATTACTGCGTATCTGCAGGAGATAGGAGGGGGGAAAAAATAGGTGTAAATCCTAATTGTGAGGGAACCATTACAAATTCTGTAGGGTAGTCTAATATATTCTATATACATATCCATATCAATATCTGCATGTATACACTTTATAATTTTAAAGTGCTTAATAGGGACACCACAAGCACCAGCATGGTGCTTGGAGAGATCCTTTACGCATTATGACAACCTAGAGAGTACAGTAAGATCTTCATTAGAACATACAAACAATTGGTTATCATATTATGATATTCAATTAAGTAAACAATAAGCCCTCAGTTACGGTACAACAGCAAAATAAATAATTAAATCACTAAATGATGCAAGTTTTACATACCCACCATAGAGCAGCAACTAAACTCACAATAACGTGTGGTGTTTGAGTTATCCCCCAGCTCCAGAGCAATAAGCCTCAGTTATGTGTGGCTTCTATGGAAACATCCCAGAGCTCCACATCAATAAACCTCAAAGTAATGAGTAGTCGGCAGCAAACCGCTCAAACAGCAATATATTTCAAAAAATGCAATGTTTGCTTAATCTGCTTTAACTGTCACTTAATTAGATAAATATCAATGAATAGGTCGTGACTCTGCATACCCAAACTAATATTGGTAATAGTCACATGCCAGTCATACCCGTAACCATAAATAGCCAAACGTGTTCTGCTTTGCCCATATGAAAAGATGGGATATATGAAGCTATTATATTGTGTGTGATAGGTTATCCATATTGAGAGGAGCTTCCTGTAAATAGTGAAAGATGGGAAGCCATGCATGTTTGATACTCACTGGGGGGTGGGAGGGTAGAGGTGGACCGGACAGCATGACAACAATGAAGGCAGCTAATTCTTCTCATAGAAAATCATCGCATTTAGAGGAATGAGATTAACAGGGCATGGCTACTGCAGTGCATGCACCCCATGTCATTAGATTGGACAGAATTAATGAATCCAAAACAGCAAGGAACACCAACACGAAATATTTTTGATGTCAGGGTGTTCTTTTAAGGAAGAATTTTCATGTAATGCAAAGCTATAATGAATCGTCAAAGTGAACAAGGAGTGTTTCAATACACAAAGATAAAGCCGTATTGGCCAAGTGACACTATTCCTGTAGAATTACCAATCCCAAAATGCTCTATCAAACATCATGGAAGCTGTAGCTCTACAACAGCTGGGATGTAACCTTTTGGGCACCCGTGCTTCAGGAATGAGAAGAAATTTACAATTCTACTCTGTGGCAGAAAACCAACGTTTTATTTACAGAACACGTAAATGTCAAGGCTGGTAGAAAATATCAAGCATGGCATATACCAGACAATTAAATCTTTATTCTTATTTATTGCCAGATGTGTTCTAAGTTCACCTGACAGGCTTCATTTTTCTTTAATTGTATAAACTACTGGTAAAATTACCAAACTGAAAATAAAACATTAAAAAAAATCTGTCATTAAAATCCAGGTTGCTTAATGGAAAGGAAAGTTGCACACTCCCACCCCGGAAAGCGAAGACAGTGCTTCCATAAAGTAAATACACAGGCCTAAAAAACAAAGATAAAGGTTGCGCCAAAATAGACCAATATAAATATAAATATGTGATAAAAGTCTTAGCTGAAAGGATCTTCTTTAGATCAAATAGTCTATAAAGTGCTTGTTCAGGAACAATGTCCTCGCTGTTCTTCCCCAGGGGAATCCAATATTATGAAACGATAAAACAGATACAAGAACCAAGTAGTGTAGTACATCCAATATGGTGCAAGAAATAAAAAGAAAGTAGGTAATGCACTCACATGTGTTAGAGCTATAGCTAGCTCTTAGTATAAAAGGTGTACAGCGGTATGATCCCCGCTTATGGGATATGGTGCAGACTTCTTCTTCCAAGGGTATGTTCCACACTCAAATAAAATAAAAAGAGAGACGACCAATAGTGCTCCCTGGATAAAATAGTATAAATAAAAAAGGTACTCACAAGAGTGGAGCAGGCAAACTGCTCCTTGACGACAGCGTTGGTGGTATGATCCCCACCTCAGGATTACTTGGAGTCCAAAAAGGATAAAATGCCAAGTAGAATAATATATATAAGGTGTATTTAAAAGATGATTGGCACAATAAAAAGTGACCAAAAAATCTTTAATAAAATAAAATACACAAATTTTGTTTCCACAAACGCGTTTCACCAACAAGGCTTCTTCAATATGGAATTCCAGCGAGGACATTGTTCCTGAACATGCACTTTATAGACTTTTTGATCTAAAGAAGATCCTTTCAGCTAAGACTTTTATCACAATTATATTTCTATTGGTCTATTTTGGCGCAACCTTTATCTTTGTTTGTTTTTTATCCTTATTGTATTTGAGGGATCCCCTTTAAAGGTTGCAGCCTTACTGTTATTCAGCGCTTACTCTTTTTCTTGATAAATTACACAGGCCTCCCTGTGAGTCATGGATAGCTAACAGTCGCTCTTTCTAAATTAAAGACACAGAACACCAATCCTCGAAGCCTTTAAGTTGTAGTCCTGGTATTATTATTTAACAAAAATAAATAAATCTAACTGGTCCACAGCAGGTACTATTCTGGGGAAAGTGCTAAATAAAGAGCTATCTCCATGGTAACCAATTCAATGCTTTACAAAAGTCACCAGTTAGCACTCAAAATAGCAACGGTTTTGCTTTGATAAATCTCCTCCTAGGTGTAAAAATAACTAACAAATTCCTTAAAGGATCACCATAGTGTCAGGAAAACAAAGCGGTCCTCCTCCCGTGGCACTTAAGGGGTTAAAACCCCTTCAGCAGCTTACCTTTATCCAGCGCCAGGCTCCCTCTGCGCTGGTGACCACTCCTCCCCCGCCGACGTCAGCGGAGCCGAATGCGCATGGCGCATTCAAAGTGTCCATAGGAAAGCATTTCTCAATGCTTTCCTATGGATGCTCTGTGTGATGGAGGCATAATATGCCTCCAGCGTCGCAGATGCGCCTCTAGTGGCTGTCCAGAAGACAGCCTCTAGAGGCTGGATTAACCCCAAATGTAAACATAGCAGTTTCTCTGAAACTGCTATGTTTACATCTGAAGGCTTAAAACCTGAGGGACATTGCACCCAGACCACTTCATTGAGCTAAAGTGGTCTGGGTGACTATAGTGTCCCTTTAACACTGCATGGGAGTATGGATTATTCACTTAAGTAAGACTTCAAAGTGAATGTCAAATTTAAGAGAAAAATAGCCAAATCGGAAACATTATCTAATTCAGTTGTGCTTCAGGTTTGGCCTACTTTGGCCTTAAAGTTGAAATTCACCTTAAATTCTCATTTTAGGAAATATGACACCATATTTCACTCTGTGGAAAAATACCAGCAGCAATGGCTCAGGGCACAGGTGTCAAATGCACAAGAAAGTAGAATTCGGCTCAGTGAATATTTTCATCTACACACTTGTTGCTAATGTTGCCCATACGATGAACAGATTGCATCCATGCCCACCTAAAGAATTTGTCATCGCCAGGTTCACTTTAAGAAACAATTTACAGAGTATTTCTCAGTTAGGGTAGAAGGCTGGAGTTCAGAACTCAGGGTACAAGTCGGTTTCACTTTCAGAATTAGCACTTGCTTGGCACAAACAAAGGCAACTGGATGCACGAAGGGGGTATAAAACATAGCTTTTGATCTCTATAAAAGCAAGACAATTTCAAAGACAACTCTATTGTTAAGAATCCATTTTGTCATCATTCCTACCACAATAGTAACAGAATGAGAAAGGTTTAACATAATTCAGTGTAAATATTTCCAAACATGAGCTCAAACGGCTCTTAGGCCTGTACACTAACTGCATTAAAGGGATATTTTAGTTAACGATTGCTTGATTAGTTCTATCATATAAGGACACGGCATGTTTTGATGTTTTGCCATCTGTTGGAGGGGAAATGTGACTGCTGATGGCTTTTTACCTATCTTACATGGTAACAACGGAACTCGCGGATGCAGGTAACATTAAATGGAAACAGATGGTCGGTTCCATGATAGTCCTGTAACATTATCTACCAGGAGGTTAGGAAGTAATGGTGCGAAAGAGGCCATTAAAGAGACACAAGGTCAAACCAAGAACCTGGAGCAGGTGGCTGCTAGTTTTAGTTTCCAGACCATTATGAGGGTTAGAGGAGCATGTTCACAAAATAAGGAAAACTCCCTACAAGCCATATAAGGACATGATGAAGTAGGAATTATGTGTATTGAACAGCTTTTAAACCTTACAGATACTGACAAGACGCTGGTTAGTTTCCAACTAAAATATGTTAACATAGAAGGAAATTCTCAGTAGCCACATCATCCAGGGAGAGATCTGTATGTTGGGCAATCAGCAGAAACTTCTAAAGGTCTACAAACGCACTGTCCACTGTATAATGCGAATCAGGGATATCAAGAAACATTGCGCACAGCAACCATGTGTCAGCCAAAAAAAAAAAAGGGGGGCAAGAAAGTATTTTTGGCATTGACAGCATGGTATAATTGGCCGAAGAAGGCTCTTCGATTGTTAGAACGTTCACGGTCAGATAACGATCTCCAGTCTACACAGCTGGTTTCTTTACGGTTCTCTTTCTATAAGGTTCAGACTAAATAGAAGAATGGTTTGCTCCTATTAACCACAATATAAATCCGAACATTGAAACACATTGCATTGCAAGTCCCCTCTTCTACAGCTTGGACATCTCTGCTTTATCAGTACAAAGCTGTCCAGGTTTTTTTGTGGCAATTATAAGCTGTGAATACTGAACGGCCTTAGACAGATAATAGAAAAGTAGCTACAGTGATCTCAGGGTGCCTAGTCAGCCCATTTATTTAATTATTATTTTTTTAAATGAGAGAATGGTGCAAAAATGTTAATTTAAGCAACTAAAATGACAGAACACCACAAATAAGTTTCAATGTTGAGACATTGCCCGTACAAAGTCTCGTCCTTGAAGCATTTTTTAAATTTTTGTTTTATATCTATGAAGCATTAATTAAGCATAAAACATCAGAATTTGACACTTTTATGGTATTAGCGGCCCTAAACCCGTCAGATGTGGTTTAAACATCACATGCTCGGTGTTAAACACTGCTATAGCTGCTGTGTGTGGCCATCCCTCCACTGCCAGTGTCATTAAAGGAGAGGCCACCTTGTCTCTGCACATGCGCGTCAAAGTATAATTATAAGAGGGGACTTTTCTTACCCGCAGTCTGGAGCTGGACACCATCTACAATCAGGATCTGCAACGAGCCACCTCCTGAGCATGAACTCTTCGTATTTCTCCATTAATACATCATCGTTCAGTATTAAGCGGATATCGTAAGGATTAAAGCGTTCGGAGCATTCAGGGCAGCTAATGTTAACCCTGCTTTCAGAGATTTCTATCCGCAAGTACTGGCGCAAGCAGTCCGCACATGACCGGTGGTGACAGGTCATTATATCTGGGAATCGGTCCTTAGAGTACCGTAAAAGGCACAAAGGACATTCTATAAAGTCTCCGCTCAGCTTGCTAGCTGGCACCACGACACTGTCTGAAGAGTTCACTGAGGCAGAAAAGATAGAATTTTTATCCGTGCACATCTCTGAGTGAATGCTTTCAATACTTGCAATGCCATCCACCCCTCCATTTACCTCCCTGGACTTGCGCTTAGTGTCTTTTTTCCTTCGGAAAATGGAACCCCATGGCATCCTTCGTTTCTTTGGTGCCTTTTTTACAGGAGGAAGGCTAACTGAAGAAGTTGACGACTGCAGGTCTCGATCTGAACCCATTTGCTGATGTAAACTCATTTCCACAATACAAATAAAAATTTAAAATCTCAACGTATGTGCATGGCAAAGATCGTTTTAAAGAATCTTAACCGTGGCTAAAAAGTGCGGTCTAAGACGGCAAATCAATTCTACTTTTCAACTGGATTCATTCAACAATGTTGTGGTGTCTTGGTCCTGCAAAAAAATAAAAGCAAAATGAAAACAATTAGTAAAGATATAGGTTCATAGAAACACTAATACATCATGGCAATACAACTAAAAAATGCTTAATCTTGTAACCAAGTTTGAATTCAATGTATTGGCAAAATGTTTGAATAGTCAAAGCTCATAAAATACATTTCCCGCAATTCTAGGTCATAGAGCATTTGCGACATAACACAAGGTCCAAATGTATTTCAAGTGGTCACTTCAATACAAAAAAGTAAAACACCAAAAACCTACCAAGATATCCATGGTGATAAACAAATCATAGTTCTTTTCACTAAATGATGCAAAATATAAAGTAACCAATTGGCTAATAAATTAGTTAGAAGAAATAAGAAACAAATGGAACAGCAACATTTCTTCTGACACACCTGTGGTCAAGTATGAATTAACTTAATATTGCAGAAAGACAAGACACCCAGAAACCCTGACATTATAGGCTGTGGTGCAAGTGAAGCGGTAGAAAAGGACCCCAAGATGCTGTCACAAATATCAATGAGAAGAGTCCAACTTAATCTGCAGATGACCTGAGTTCAAAAGCACAGATCATATTTAAGCGTATTAACGGAGATAAAGTTAGTGTCGCAAACAAAATAATCTCACTTAGGTTGGATTATGCAGAACCATTACCCTCTCCATGTCACATGGCGTTCCACTGTAAAACGCCACATCGTAGTAGCAGAGGGGAACTCCAGTAAATGGGAATAATTGGTGTGAAAAATACAAATGATTTTCATATATGTTCTATGTCTTTCGTTTTAACAAGTAAAACGTCCCCAACTCCCCGCTCTACCACCTCTATTCTCCAACTAGCCGAGGAGACAGCTGGAAAGGTCACCTAAGGGTCAGAAGTCGGAAGTCATTAAACGGTTGAATATCTACAGCCATAACGGGGAACATTTACCAGAGTGCTTCAGACTACCCTTTTTCAAACATTTTTCTAGAGTGGATGAAAAATAAAATTCTGGATGGCTTTTCAATATTTATTACTTTTGCCCCAGTCCTGTCACTTTTATTTTTTGCACCTTGCATTTATTAATAAATACATATTTTCTGCACCGAAAAAAAAAAAAGGATTCTACGTTCTAGAGTTTTCTTTTACCTTCAAAGCAAAGAAGAAAACATGCAAAATATTCAGTGCAAAAGCCCAGGTGATCATAAGAACCCTATTAGTATGATTATATAACTATTTTTCTCTTTTGCCCTTCCAGAAATTAAATAAGAAAAATAGAGCGACAAAACACTTCAGTAAGCTCCTGTATGAGTTCCTACATCTGTGCACAAGGCATGATGAGGGCCAAGGTAATTTGCATCATATGCCAGGCACCTTGCATATTTTGTAATTCGAAGGAGGGAAAAAAAATTATATATCAACCACACACTTTTAAATACACACGTATAAATGCATATATTGTACAGCGCTACGGAATCTGATGGCGCTATATAAATAATATAATAAATTTAGACAGGGCTCAAAATTAATCTGACGAGTGTGCCACAGACCGTACAGGATTGCAGTGGCAAGTAATTTGTAGGTCTGGCTAGTGTAGGACTTGAAATTTTTATATAGATTTTTATCTATACATCTATGGATATATAGACACACAGAGATGCAGACCATACATATGTTTAAGCCATATGTCTGTAATTTATAGCTAACATTTAAAACAATTGACTTGCTTTTCACATTTCCCCTGAAGGAAAATATCAAGGCTTTTATTCCTGTGACCCTTTCCTTTAACTTTCATGTACAAAGCAACATACACCAGCATCATGATTTCCATTTACCCAATATAGAAGACAGCCACAATGTACTGCCACTTTTTATTTAAACAATATTAATACAAAGAGCGTATATGGTGTAGGAAAAAGGCATGCTAGTGCTATGTGGTTTGAGTGTACTAGATGTGAGGCCTTTGATCTTCATGTGAGCAGACTGAAGAGAAATGATTAAATATAAAAAGGAAAGTGTAAAAAAAAAAAAAAAATTAGATTTTACTAATGCGTGGAAAATAAGCATGGTTTAGGTAACATAGAAGTATAGAATCTGCCTTATGCCTATCCCATGCATGCTTAAACTCCCTCACTGTGTTAACCTCTACCACTTCAGTTGGAAGTCTATTCCATGCATCCACTACCCTCTCAGTAAAGTAATACTTCTTGATATTATTTTTAAACCTTTGCCCCTCTAATTTAAGACTATGCCCTCTTGTTCTGGTAGTTTTTCTAGTTTTAAATAGTCTCCTCCTTTACTGTATTGATTCCCTTTACGTATTTAAATGTTTCTATATCCCCCCTGTCTCGTCTTTCCTCCAAGCTATACATGTTAAGATCCTTTAATCTTTCCTTGTAAGTTTTATCCCGCAATCCATGAACCAGTTTAGTAGCCCTTCTCTGAACTCTCTCTAAAGTATCAATATCCTTCTGGAGATACGGTCTCCAGTACTGCGTACAATACTCCAAGTGAGGTCTCACCAGTGTTCTGTACAATGGCATGAGCACTTCCCTCTTCCTACTGCTAATACCTCTCCCTATACAACCAAGCATTCTGCTAGCATTTCCTGCTGCTCTTTTACATTGTCTGCCTACCTTTAAGTCATCAGAAATAATCACCCCTAAATCCCTTTCCTCAGATGTTGAGGTTAGGACTCTATCAAATATTCTGTACTCTGCCCTTGGGTTTTTACGTCCAAGATGCATTATCTTGCACTTATCCACATTAAATGTCAGTTGCCACAATTCTGACCATTTTTCTAGTTTACCTAAATCATTTGCCATTTGGCTTATCCCTCCTGGAACATCAATCCTGTTACATATCTTAGTATCATCAGCAAAAAGACATACCTTACCATCAAGACCTTCTGCAATATCACTAATAAAAATATTAAAGAGAATGGGTCCAAGTACAGATCCCTGAGGTACCCCACTGGTAACTAAACCTTGCTTTGAATATACTCCTTGACAACAACCCTCTGTTGTGCAAAAGGTAGAATGCAAAAAATGCGAAACAAGAACTTCATACTATTTTTTTGAAGCAGTAAACCAGCTGCTGCCCTTTCTGCAGTAAATGTATATTTTATTTATATGAAATTAATTTGACATTATAGCATTTATAATGTTTGCAGGCCAGCTCAATGAACACCATCTGCAATTTCAAGACTGATATTTTCAAGACATAGGAACATAAAAACAGTCGCCTGCCAAACCAGAGACGTAAAAATGAGGAAAGTGTAATTATCTCCCTAATTTCCCTTTAAAGGGGATCTATTCCTTGCCTTATGAAAAAGTTAGTTAGCCGTCACTAGAAGGCCTAACAATCTCTGATGTCCAAAATTGCAGATATCTCCTCCTTGTGAAGGACACTAAGTCTGTGTTTATTCATTGCTCACATGTAAGGTGATCTCAGTATGCCTCGTATGTTTAGACTTTAAAGAAAACAGTGGTTTTGGTATGTGAGGCTGCAAATGGTTTCAAGTTGAAGATAGTGATGCAGAGGATTGTAGTTTCAGAACTTAAAAAAAAATTGGATGTCTCTTAATGCATTATCTGCCCAAACTTTGTTTATTGCGCAGATATAATCTACTTAACTGCTTTAGAGTACAAAGAAACCAGTTGAAAGCTATGGGGTACACGCACCACTAGTAATGCAATTAAACAGCCCACAATGTCTTCACATAATTGGCTTTCAGATAAAACACCACACCACATCAACAACATCCTATATGTATTTAAAATCATCAAACCTGGATCCTACTGCTGCAAGAAGCACGGCGTTTTAGCGGAAAAAATAAATCAGAGCTGCAGGGAGTCACACGAAAATACATCAAATCTTTATTTCTAGCAAGGAATGCACAATTATTGTCTTCAACCATTGTGTATGCAAGAGCATACACAATGACACATAACACTGAGCATATGTAATTCAATGCATATGTTCAGTGTTACACACCTCACCAGCACCTGTGGACACATTTGAACTATGCAGAAATATTTGTGGAAGCAGCCATTTACCTTTCAACGGTCACTCTAAGTACCAATACCACTCGATTTTTTTAAGAAACCGGCGATTTTTACATTTGTCTAAAAAATCATCCCATTGAAAGCTACTAGAGGTACTTCCAACTTAAAGGGACACTAGTCACATGAACAACTACAGCTTATTGTAGCTGTTCTGGTGTCTACTCCCTGTAACTGCAGGCTTTTTCATTTACATTGCTGCCTAGGGACACCTCCTGTGGCAGTCACTTAGATGGCTACTAAAGGTGATTCCTGGGTCAGTGCTGCACAACTTGTAGCACTGATGTTCAGCATCTCCACACTCTGAATAGAGGTGCTAAACCTTTAGGGAAGCTCTAGTGCCAGGAAAACAAACTTGTTATCCTGGCACTATAGCTTTCCCCTCCATATAAGATATATTTATTGTTATTGTAAGAGGGTTCCTTTGTGTATGTTGGCAATAAAGTTGTACTGCCCCATTTCTCACCATGAAACTTACGACATATTAAACTGCATTAGCTACAAAATTATTTCCTCTTAGAAAAAAACAATTTACTGGAAATCAAAGGTGGTGTTGTACGATAAGGATCACCGTACTGTCAGTAACTTGTTTGCAAACTGTGAAACTAATTAAAAATAAATATTTGTGCATGTGTGTTTTATATATATATATCTTTACACAAGAGGAAAAAAACTAAAACATTAACAGTTTTCTAAAGAAAGTTATCTGGATTTTAATCTTTAATCTTTGTATCATAGTTTTATGGTAACACTGAAGAACATGGGAGGACTAATCTAAGAATTTAGGGGAATATTTC